AAATAACTAAATTACACCACAGAATTCTCGAACGCTTCTTTCTCTCTCTACGAAAAATAATTTGCTGTATCTTATCGGAGCGCAAATATGTGAGACAGCAGCTAACAAGAGAGGGTGCCCATTTTGTTCTGGGCCAACTCAGACAGCGTCGTACGACGCAGCTCGATGCGATTTGTTTTCGCGTCGGTACTCGGGTCTGTGTGACAACGCAGATGCGGTGGTTTGAGTCGGGGGCAGTCGCTCGCGTCGTAGAATTTTATAAATGTTTAATATTTCTCACGACGGCTCAAGACTGTCCCTGACGATGAATCGCGTCGGGCTGCGTCGTACGACGCTGGTCTCAGTTCTTTAGGAAACAGTCTGGCCTAATGTGTTTAGGTTTCTGACGTGTTTAGCATTAGATGTGCTTAACCGGGTATTTGACATCATGATGTCAAGCACATTTAATGCTAAACACGTCAAGATCCTTATATATTAAGCTATGTCTAAACACGTTTAGCTTTTGAACGTGTCACCAAAAACGGGACAAAATTGCGTGGAGCTTTGTGTTTAAATACTCCACGCTGTTTTTACAGTGTGTATGTGTCAAAAACGGAAAGCTAAGGCCAACAACTCTAATACGCTGTGTAGGAAAAAGAACTGACATTACAGTTTCCATGGATGTTTGAACTTACTAACACCTTTTGTCTGTCTATGGGGTTAAAAATATACGTTCATGGTCTGTTTTTGTTTATCCGATTTGTTAGCAAGATTCTGGACAAAACAAACTAATGAATGGATATCATTTTTTTTTTTTAGTAATATAACACACCTAATTTTTAATGATGTAGGCCTACTAGTCAATTTCAATACCGTAACACCTAGAATAGAAACCTCATTGAATTAATCTCGATAACGCGCCAAATAATAAAAAAATTATTGTGTTGGCCACGCCCGACCGACTAAATGTACGAAAATGAGGGTCGGCATGATTCTCTACCAACCTACCCATTTTTTGGATTTTTCCAAACACGTGGCCAACACAAGATTTTTTTTCTTGGCCTAAGAAGCCCATCACGAAAGGAATCCCCACCCATTCTTCAGTTTGCAAAAGTAATCTCGAAAAGAAGCCTATCTCGAAAAAAACCCCCAGATATGGGCTTCCTTCGAGATGTTTTATCATTAAGACTGATGTTATCTTTGTTGATTATGATAGCGTGTCAGTAGTATTTTATTGTGCTAGAATAACATTTAAATCAATATTAAATAGGCCTATATTACAACAACTTATTAAATAAAGTTTAAAACGTTCAATAAAAAAAATGTTTTTCAAGGCAGGCGCTATGGCCCGGGGGTTAGCGAAGGGCCCCCGGTGGGGTATGGGAGCGAAGCCCACTGCTCCGGTGTTTGTAGCTTTTTGTTGAATTGAATTGAGTTCTTAATTTTGTATCGTGATTTGATAAAATAAGCGTAACCTATATTGTAATTAAAATAATACTTTGTTCGTCTGTAACTTAACTTTTTGTTAAACATTGTTCCACTTTTATTATATTATATACAACAAATTGTTAAATAAAGTTTAAAACGTTCAATCAAAAGAAGAACAAAAAATGTTGTACTATTTTGTTAATATTTACTGTTTTAGTGTATTGGTATTATTGAAAAGATTATACAGAATTATGAAAGCAATTGTAAAAAATAATGATGTCTGAGTCATTTGATGTATTTTTAAAACTCAGAAGTCATGATAACATTTTACAACCCATTAATTCACATTAGGCTGTTTACATTTCCTCAGTACAGTATGCTATGCTCTGTACTGTACAGAAGAATGCTGGTTAGAATGTTTTTTTTTGTTAGGACAGAGTTTGAGCCAAACCCCTTTTTGCATATTCTCCCCAAGTTTTTAAATATTCAAAAATCTATCTCATTAAGCGTTTTTTATCTCATTAAAACCAACTTTTTCGTCGCAGTTTAAGAATGTTTATTGCACATTTTTCCTATCTGTAGATGTGTCCCTTTTAATGTCGAAATCCACTGGCACAAGAAGTTTTATTCATGAATTTTCGCTCATAGTAATAAGCATGCACAGTTTAAAACTTCGTAGTTATTGAACTGCCCATGCGTGTAATAATCTAAAGTTCCGTACTCGCGCGAATAAGCGCCCGGGCGCTTAAAACCTTTTTTTTGCACTTTTTGCGGGGCGCTTATTCGAACGGGGCGCTTATCAAAACAGAGTGGA